GCATGATTTCGTTAAAAGCAAAATATGGTTTCCTACACAACTCGATACGCGCTACAAAACTAGCATGATTAAATCTTGCCTGAAGAACGTCGATGTAAATCTGGGCGGACCTGCGTGAAAGTACCCCACTGCATCAATAGTATTTAAGCACAAACGAATCAAAACCATTCGATTAGAGTTTAAAAAATCAAAATTGAATATTTAATCAATCACAGGCGATATTTTATTGTCATAAAAAATGTATAATTATAGAAATGAAGATTTTGTATTTTTTCGGTATTTCGTTAATTTTTTCCTTTTATGAAATGGTAAAGATTACCTATCAATGAACCAAAAAAGACACTTGCTATTCCTCTCCATATTAGTTTTTTGAAAAAGGCTGCAGCGATGATTAAATCTTCAGGATCTTCAAAAAAAACTGAAACTAAATAAATGTATCTAAAATTTTATTACATACTATAAGCAGGTGTTGTTAAATGCAACTGTTGATCAAGATTAGTTATATTATTATCATAATCATCATCATCGTCGAATGAATCTTCTGAAGATTCATCCTAAATAAAAGAAGAATTATTCATTGGTACAATTTACAGGAAATTCATATGAGCTTCACAGAAGGTTTATAAATTCTGAATGCTTTTTTATGGGCTATAAAGCATAGTTGATCACAAGATCAGAAAATGAGATGTATCAATTTACATCAAATAATCATTGGAGAAGACAGATACGAGAATTTTCGGCTGGAATACTGTTTCCACCTTCCAGTCATTTCCGGTCGCGTCCCGCCGTGTGTAACGACCTCGGAAACGACAACAAAAGACTTAGGAACGGTTTCCAGTTCTGATATAACATTTACCAAAAACCATGAGAGGTCTCATATAGAAAAACTTTTTACTTACATTAACAATGCTTTGAAGCGGAACTACACGACACATATTATATATTGAATTGAACTATGAATCGTATGTTATCAGATGATATAATACAAAGACTGGTCAGTAATGCCAATTAGATACGGATGCATATAGCGAAGCGACATCTGGTTAACGTCAAAAGAAATGGTGGCATACATCTAATTCATCTAATTTTCAAATTCAAAAATACTGTATCGTATACAGTACACACATAACTACACTAACTAAATCACTCCTCTTTTAGTTTTTACTCAACTTAAATTAATTCTTAAAGATTTATTTTAATATATTTTATTGAATGAATAATATCGAAGTACATTTAACAAAACTGTGAATTTGAAAAAAAAGAATTTTATTTTGATACAGAACCAACAAAAAAAACACGATTTGGTTGAATATAAAACTAAAATTTAAAATAGTATTTTAGTATTGAATTAATCAGAAGTTTTCGTACCTAAGCAAAAGAAAACTTTTTGATAAATTTGGCTTGATTTATTTCGGGTCCAGAGCATAAATTTCGAATAACATATAATCTTTGATTGGATGATACATACACAGATAAATTGCCAACCCGAATAAAACCAACGACGATGACCATAACAACAACTCATTTTGGTTGTGGTTGTTGAACCATTGAGCGAAAACTAAAAGAAAAAGAAAAGAAACATTAACCTTTCGTATGTTCAAGTTATATGTATATACTTACAAAACAAAATTCGATGAAATAACGATGGAGTTGCTGTTGGAGGTGGAGATGGAGGTGGAGGTGGACTTGGATGTTTTCGTCTACGTTGTTTCTAAAAAAAGAAGCATGTAGGACTCAGACCACAAACAAATCAGTATTCTAAGATAGTCATAAACAATATATCTATCTTACTAGTTTTGATGATCTTTTACGTGAAGGCATTGGATATGAAGCGATGAAAACGAAAACGTTGTAGATTGACGCAGCTTTTATAGGTCAATTTCTCTCTCTCTCTCTCTTCCTTTGATTCTATTTTCAAAAATATATTAATCGATGCCTCTC